AACATGGTTGATATCTTTTGTTGTATAAATTTTTGTGGTTTTTGTTTTGGAACTGATTCCTTTGTCGATGATCTTTCTGGTATTTTGAATCATGCCATCTATCAGAATGCTTAAAATGAGGCGGATGCTCTATTTTTTCACAAAATTATCATAACGGGGTTTAAATGATTCTTTGTTAATTTTCTCAGTCTGATTAGCAGAAAATTTCGATTTTATTCTTTTTCTCACATCTTCAAAATCTTCAATTTTTTTAACCATCTCAGTAGGTGAAATGATGGTAGTCCATTCATCCATAACATGTTCTTTGAAATCAGGAGAAGTACTCTTTTTAATTTGATCAACCAGCATGAGATCTTTTAGCTGTTCAAAAGTTTTAATATTTAATCCGTTAAGACATCCTTCTAAATAATTCTTTAATTCATAGCAAAAATCATACCGAGTACTTTCAGTAGATTTTTGGTGTTTATTAAATAATTGTCGGAATTTTTCTGCACTCCATTTAAATCGTTGTAACAGTAAAGTTTTTACATATTCATACTTTTTAGCGTCCTCTTCTGCTTCTCTAGCAAAAAGCTGAACAATGTCAGGAGGCAGCAATGAAATAACTTGAGTCACTTGATTTTCAGTAAGTATATTCATAATTTTAGCTTGATGCTCAAATAACACCAGAAATAAACTTATTTCATCTTCTTTAGAGCTGAAACATGGCATGAAATCGTGAATTCTGATTTTTAAAGGCTGCGCGGGTAACTGCGTCTTCCAATTGAACTTCCTAAAACTTCCAATTGAAGTTTCTCTAACTCAAACGTTCTTTCACATTTCTTTTCTCTTTCTTCTCTTTCGCATTCTTCTTTTCTTTCTCGCGTTCCTTTTCTCTTTCGTGTTCTTTTCCCTTTTTTCTTTTTCGCATTCTTCCTTTCTTTCTCTTTCTTCTCTAATTGCAGCCAGTAGTTCTCAAGTAAATTCCTCATCATAACCGGCACTTTCAGTAATCAGTTTATGCAACTGAGCAATCTTAAATTCAGATTTCATGGTTAAACCTAACTTTTCTGCTAGTACTTTTAAATCCTGTTTTTTTACTCCTAGCTAAGAATGACATGTTGAACAAGTTACCTTTAATAGGCTTTCTTTTATAATTACCATATTTGACGGCATATAAGACCCACTGGCATAAAAGCGCACCCTTATTTAAAAGGCCACACACATGTAGATGTAGAAAAAGTGATGTGTGTCTAGACCTTATCAGGGCTAAAAATAGCATTCATTATTGAAAGTTAACCTGTGTCCTTCACTTATAAGACGCAGGCAACTTTTTTGAGACCAAATTTAGGAAAAAAAGTGCATCTTATATGCCGTCAAATACGGTAAATCTTATAAATCGTGCTTGTATTAAATATATATATAAAATTTTGGCAAGACTTAAATTGTCAAATACAAAACTAACACTAAGCAATTGTAGAGAATAATTTAAACAATTTTGCCAGGTTGGAACAAAATAATATAATACTATATCGGGTTGACATTTTAACATACTATTCACAAGCCTCGTTGGTGATATAAACACCTTTGCCAGTTAGGCAATACAATGGAATTTTTGACGATTTTACTATCTATCTCCACGCCTGGTTGGCAATAACTAAAACAATTTTTGACAGTTTGGCAATACCATTTTTACAATATACAATCTGTAATATGTCAGGATGACGTTACTATCTACCACACACCTGGATGCCGAGAACTAAGAAAAAACTTTTGACAATTCTGCAGTATAATCGAATCACACTACGTCAGTTTGACTTTACTACTTATTTTCCACACGCCTGCTTGGCAGCAAATTCAAAAACTCAGCTAGCAGTTCTTTATATATATATACAGTACAAGGTCTTCTCGTTGGGACTTCGGCGATTCCGGATTAGGGTTTTTTTTCCGGATTCTAGATCATCAGTTTAAATCTGGTAAGATGGCATGCAGAAATTATAAAATAAAAATACAAAACCGTAATTTATGAAATAAAGAGCGATTATGATCTAAAGGGTACCAAATTTACAAAAAAAAAAAAAAAAAAAAAAAAAAGCTTAATATTTATTTGTTTACTTTATTAAACATTTCTTTCAATGTAAGTTGCTAAGTTGCTTCATTTTATGTGCTTATACTTTCTCTTTAATTCCATAAAAAGAGATAATTTCTTGTTCAGTTACCAAGTTTCGCTGTTCAAGTCCTGTAATTGCTGTGCCGAGAATATTAACTTGTCAATCGAAATTTTTTCATTTTCACTAACCTCTCTGTCACTTTCTTCAGGCCTTAATCCATTTTTTGCAGCAATTCCACTTTTTTTTTTTTTTTTTTTTTTTTTTTTTGATGGACATCCAAACATGCTTTCGCTTTGTAGATCCTTTGGCAGCTCCAGAATCAGAAACTCTTTTTGACATAATCGAAAGTTCAAGCTTATTTTTTAGAAAATTGCTCTAACAGTCTGCAAAAAATAATAAGCCAGATCCAATTAGAAGATTAAGAACAACGCAGTCTGCAACATTAATTGAAATAGATAATTAGATAATTTTAATAGCTTATACTTAGCTTATACCCACCGTTATACATCAAACACGCATGTGTAAACGTATTATGTGCATGTGTAAACGCATATGTGCATGTGTCAAGGTATTATGCGGATGCGTAAACACATATGCTCATGCGTAAACATTACACATGCGCAGAATGTTTGTAGCTTTGAGGTCCGGATTATAGATCATTCCGGATTATGAACATCCGGATTAAAGACTTTGTATATCTATCTATCTATCTAATAGATAGATAGATAGATATAAATGCTGGGATGGCTTACATATATCAATTATCAACATAAAAATTCAATACAAATAGCAGTAAAGACAAAATAATAATTTAAAATACTTTTTTACCACAAATATCAATTATAATTTACGCCTAAAATTTCTTAGTTTCAGTTATTTTACACAAAAACTTCCACTATTTAAATATAATTCTGAAATGAAATACTTAAATTCACTAAACACTTTTTTATGAAACCAAAAGTTAATCTACCTTCGGAGATCAGCAATATCCTTTTCTGACAATTCTTTGCTAGGCTGTAAGTTAGAGATACCCAGAAGATAACCGTTGAATGATCCGCTTCAAAATCTGGCTTTAATGCGGCAGACTTCTGACTTTGTTTTCTTCTTTGTTTATAAATAACTTTGTTTATTTCACATTGAAATAAACAAATTCGGCATTTGGTATTAGCAAACTTGTTCTCAAAATTTCAGCAACATTCTGGGATTAGGAGACCAGCACCATCGAAATTGATAATTGCACTCCTAATTTCCGGTATCTCGGTGTACCCTCCAAATTTTATAAGACTGTAATGTATTTTGCAGTAATTGACAAAATAACAGATAATCTTCTTAGTAAAACATAAATTTTATTTTTAGTTTACGGAGATAAATAATTTGAATACAGTCTTTTAGTTACAAATTTTTCATGCATCTACTAGCTGGTAAAACTTCGGCATTCTCATTTTAAACAATTTCTTACGTTGCTGAGCAACGGTTACATCATACAAATACGGCATTGCCACTTCAATAATAAATATAGTTATTTGTTAAATAACAAGATATTACAGTGTGTACACTGATACATATGTACATACATACATGCATACATCCATAATCCATACATGCATACAGACATGTAATTCTGAATCCAGTCCCGATAACAGAAGAGTACCTAAATATCAATAATTAATGTAAATTTTATTTACTTAGGCAAACTGCTTTTATTAAATGTATTTATCACTCTGAGTAATTATGTTTAAAATGGATATTTTACAGAGTTTGTGTGTACACTTTTTAAACAATTTTGATTAGGCAGTTAACAAAGCATAAAAAATTAATCATCAAAGCTTTTTTGTTTAAGAGATAAATTATCGTCTTTTGTTGTCAAAATTTGTATGAATTCAAAATGGCTCATATAAATAACTCTTGGATAGAAGATTCAATTTTTGCATTTTCTGAAGAAAAATGGTCTCACTTTTCAATAGAAAAATAATGTAGGAATCTGAGAATTAAGTTACCTAAAGCCACAATAAACAATATTCATAACAAAGGAAAAATTTAACAATCACTGCTTTCTGCTGGAGATAACACATAAAATATTTATAAATTTGAAAACCTGTGTTATATAAACACCTTTGCCAGTAGACACACTTACTCAATGAGCAACATCACTAGCTTGCTTAATGTTAAAAAGGTTATAGTGATGCACATTTTGGAGAATGTTAATTTGACACACTTTCTTAAACTGGAGGTGGGAAGCAAGCAGCATAATAGAACTTTGTATAACAACCAATATAAATTATTTAACGTAATTTGAAAAATACACTTGTATAACAAACAGTAGAAACAAATCCAGCTACAACTAATACTCATAGCTAAGTACAAACAATGGGTACAAATCCAGCTCTGACTATTAACTGAGAAAATTGTGCAGGTGCAAAATTGTTTTGCTCAGTTGAAATGTTGATAGTCACAGTGAACCACTGATGCAGTTGAATCATAATTTGAGGTTTCCTCCAAAGGAACAAAATATTTTTTTCTGATTTATCTTTCCACTTTTGTACATAAAATTGCTTTAGACAGTTCATTGAAGAAAGTCTGAAGTAGGTTGTTTAAAAATTTTGTTAGGATTAGCTGTTAAGCATTTTCTGTTTTTAATTTTATCTAATTAATTAAAAACTGGCTTGAGACATTTTTAATTATGTATGAACTTGTATCTTGACAAAGAAAATAATAATTAAACAGAGCAGAATTATCGATGAATGAAGAAAACAAATTGTGAAACATTGGATATCATTGTGCTATAACATAAAAGAAATGAAAATTTAAATACTATTTATAATTATAACAATATTTCTATTATGCATAAAAATGAATGCTTTATATTCTGATGCAATGAAGAAATTGAGAATTTGTTACTTTATTTTAAAGGATTTCCTCGTACAGTACAGCAAGCTGAAGATTTGTCTGCAAAATATGAAATTTCCTCTGCTATAAATCTGGATGTACCCGATGAAGTAATTATTTCTCGACTCAAAGGACGCTGGTTACATCCAGTCAGTGGCAGAGTATATAACACTGACTTCAACCCTCCAAAAATACCAGTAAGCTAATAAACAATGAGTATGTGCATATTTTATAACTATTATAAAATCTGGAAATAAAATTGACATAAAGTAATTTCAGCTCATTTTTAATAAACTTCAGCATAATACAGCAGAAATTTTAATAATCAAATTATTAAAATTTTAATAATTGTTTAAAATATTTTAATAATAAAAAAATTTATAATAAATTTATAATATATATATAAATAAAAAAAATTTAATAATTTCAGCAGAAATTTTAATAAACTTCTAGATTAATTTGGTACTGTTTTTCAAATGTTTGACTAATATTCTGGAATGATTTCAAATATTATTTAAGAATCACTCATTTGTAGCATGAATCGAAAGTACTTTGTAGTAAAATTAATAAGTACTTATTTGTTATCTTCAGATAGAAGTGTGGTATTTATCCATGTAATTCTAGCAGTGATTTTTATATGAGTCATTTCTGTTCTTCACAGGTTACAATGGCTATTTTCAGAAATAACACTGAAGCCATTTAACTGATTGCTTTTATGATTTCTAGTGGAATTTGCCTAATCGTTGCCTACAATATAACTTCAAATCAGTTGTTCTTTTTGCTGCTGTTATATAAATTCTATAGGGTATGATGATGATTAAAAAAAAAACAAGGTAGCAACAAGTAGCAATACAAAGGTATGAATTTCTGGCAAATTGTCATTTGTTTTGTTGATCATTGCTTCTGTGTCTGCTGGATAACAAACAAGTACTAATTAGTGTTTAATTAATTATTAATTTAAGATATGGTCTCAAATTTATAACAGTCAGGAATTTGCATGTTTTATTGTTTATTAGTTTTACATATGTAAAGGATAAATATCCTAAAATTTGTTGCAATGAAAGTACAGTGGAATTTCATTAATTTAAATCGTGTGTGAATTAGCAAAATCACTCAAATGATCTGAGGAATCCCTTAGAAACTCCAACAAACTCCTTCCCCATACCTTTGTGTACTTTTAACCATTTTCAAAGAACCAACCAATCCCAATGAGAATAATAGTTTCTGTCCTTATTAAAAGTTTTTTCAAGTTTTTATTGATTTATTTTTTCATACTTTAGTAGAGATATTTCTCTCTCTCTCTCTCTTTTTTTCCTTCTTGAGTGGAATTCATTTAAATAAGATTGCTGTTTAACACTTTTTACGCAAGCATTTGTGCATAAATTAATCACATTGGGAATTTTTTATTTTGTTTTGCAGTTTTTTCTTCCAAAGCTGTGAATATTTTTCATTTTTATACCTTTTTTTATCTTGCTTTCTGTGTGAGAGAGCCTATAATTCAGCTTTCAATAATTATGGGTACATTCTGATTATCTGTTCAATCCTGAAAAGACTTCATCGGCCATCTCAGTTGTTATTTTTTTATACTGTTGGTGGTTTTAATTCTTCTAATAAGTATATTCACATTATTTTAGTTCATGGGTTGGCAATGCAGTGACCGCAGCTGTCATGGCACTTTCTGCCTTTTCCCAATGCGCCTGCACTGAATTATTCTGCTTTTTATGCAACTCTGCAGTTTCGAGTTTATGTTTATATAATACATGTTAACATTATATATTTTTACATCTATGTATCAAACAGCCATTTTATTGCATCAGCGCTTCTTAAAACTTTCATTGTTGAGAGAAGCCGACTAGTCAGGTCAGCCTGATAGCCCAGTGCGATGTGGCATGGTTGGTGCATTTAACTATAACCTCTCTGATGCAATCACCAGTACATGCAGCAGGAAGACTTAGCAGGTGCGAAACTAGACATCTGTCTACTTTGTCTATCCATGACAATTTTGAGTAATTTGTAAACATTCGTGATTCATATACTCCGAATTTCTGACTTTTAGACCAGCTATGAAATCAATCATAGACAAGGTATGTAATGTGTATGTACTACACTCACGTTTGTGAAAATTGCAACACCATGAAGGACTTACGCGAGTGAGCTGAAATTTTCAGGAAATGCAAAGTAGCGCATGATATGCAGATGATTAGAATTGCAAATCCGTAGCGCATGCGTATGCTGAGCAGCGCCCTCTGAATGGCTGATGGATCCGAATAAATAGACGGCTGTAGCGAGGCGTGTATGGTTATCGGTGGTTATCTGCTAGTGGTAAACGTTAACTCAATCTGTACTTATGCCTCGTCGACGAAAGAGAGCGAGATTTGAACAACTTACAGAGTTTGAACGAGGGAGAATCATCGGCCTTCGTGAAGCTGGATTGTCGTATCGTGCAGTAGCCTCTCGTGTGCAGCGTAACAGCAGCACAGTGATGCGCATTTGGAAGCAGTGGACGGACGAGTGTCGGACAACTCGGAAATCCTGGAGTGGACCCCGAAATGTGATGTCAGCTCGCGATGATAGACACCTGGTCCGCATGGCGCGGATGGACCGTACAGCTTCCTCTAGACAATTGGCAGCATTGTGGTCAATAGTTACAGGTGTTTCATTGTGTGCTTCATCAATTCGTAGACGTCTGCTGCAGTGTGGACTGCGCGCACGGACTCCTTTATACAGGATTCCCCTAACGCACGACCATCGCCGCCTGCGGCTACAATGGGCCAATCAGCATAGAGACTGGCGTGCTGATTGGCAGCATGACGTGTTTTCTGACGAATCCCGCTTTAATTTGTGGTACCATGATGGCCGCATTCGTGTCAGACGCTATGCCGGTGAACGCCACCTTCCGGAGTGCATTATCGAACGCCACAGTGGACGAACACCCGGAGTTATGGTCTAGGGGCGCCATAGCATATCATAGACGATCTCAATTTGCTACGAATTGGTGGGCAATCTGAACAGCAACCGGTATATCCGTGAAGTTCTACAGCCCGAAGCTGTTCGCTTCCTTCAAAGCTTGCCAGGCGCTGTATTTCAACAGGACAATGCCCGCCCTCATACTGCTCGGATTGTTAAATCCTTCTTTGCAGCGCAGCAGGTACAGCTTCTTCCTTGGCCTGCGTGTTCCCCCCGGATATGTCGCCAATTGAACATGTGTGGGATGTCATTGGTCGGCGTCTTGCTCGTGATCCTCGTCCTGTTGCGTCTGCAGACGAACTTTGGGTACGCGTACAAACGATATGGAATGCTCTTCCTCAGTCAGACATTCAAACTTTGTTTGACTCCATGCCACGTCGTGTAGCAGCACTTATTGCGGCGCGTGGTGGCCACACAAAATACTGATTCTGATCTCTTGTTCTTGTTTGTTTGCTTTGAACATTTAATCATTTATTTGTACCACTACCACTCAACTGTGTATTAAATTGCATTCAATTATGACGATTCCTTCTTGGTGTTGCAATTTTCACAAACATGAGTGTATATTGTTTCTTTCTTGTTAGATTTGTATATGTACTTTCTAATCACCTGGGATGTTTTCTTACAGAGATTTTCTTACAAACTGATGACTGTAACAACCTACGAGGTTAAAGTTAAGTGATCACGCACTTATAATTTTAATGAAGAATGGGAGCACCATATTTGCTTTATGAATCATAAAGACAAATATATATATATATGCTTATTATATAACAAAATCATTTCCAAACAGTGCATCCAAAGTGTGACTCTGAACATCCTAAACTTTCTGAACTTGAAAGAAATAAAATTTTATCATTAAAGTCATCAGTTTCAAAGCTACAATTACAAAGCTACATACTACTTTTGCCAAACTGTTGGAAGCATGAAAGGCAGCAACCATTGCATCAATTAAAGTTTTGCATATACTTGTTAAGAAAAAAAAAAAAAAAAAAGAGTGGTTGGAGCAATAGCAATGCAGACGTACATTTTGCAGATTTTAAAAATAAAAAAGGAATTGTTTCAGCCATAAATGCCATGCACTTGTCAGGTAGAACTATAACAAGAAAAATTAAAACAATTGCAGACCCCTTAGAAACCCAATTGATGAAAGATATGAATATATGTGCTTTTTTTCCCTTACAACTGGATGAATCGAAAGATTGACTGATGTAGCACAACTGGAAATAAATGTCAAGATGGCCTTTGACAATTTTACCATAAAAGAAGACTTTCTAAAAATTCTGTTGCTTATAGAGTGCACATGAGAAAAAGATTTATTTTGTGCAATAAAAAAAGTTTTTGATTGAGGCTAAAATCCCGATTGCAAAATTATCTTCAATAACAGCTGACGATGAGCAAGCCATAACAGGGAAGAACATTGGATTCATTGTTTTATGCAAACAATATCCTTTTTATTTTTCAAAATTTAATTTGCACTGCTAAAATTTCAAAATTTATTGTACACATATCACAGAATTTATTGTGAATGTATCACTTCATTATACACCAGCAATCATTGTATGAAAAATCATTGAATTCCAAGATGTAATTGCTGTTGGTACAAAAATAATCAGTTCAATAATAATCAGTTCAATAATTAAGATAAGTGGAGTGCAACACAGACTATTAAAACTGCTTTTGAGAAATGAGGAAGATATACAATTTACTGATCTTCTTTTGCACACTGAGTGAGGTTTGTTGGCTGAGCAAGGGAAACATGCTTGTGTTTTGTCAATATGTTACCAAAAATAAAAGAGTTTCTAACATCCCAAGGGAAAAAAATTATGAACAGCTGGAAGACAGAAACTTTGGTTAACAATTTTGGCCTTTCTGACTGATTTAATACTGAAATTTAATAAGATAAATTTGAAATTACAACGCTATCAAGTAGCTTCAAGTTAGTGTTACAATTGTATAGGTTCCAAGAAATTTATTAACACATTTTCCCAACACTGAAAAAATGATAGAAGGAGCATAATATTAATACAGACTCATATCTTAATAATTGTGTCTGCATTGCAAACTGAATTTAATTCTAGATTTGTTGATGTTGCAAATTTAGAGCTTATTTTAAAATTCTTTATTAATTCCTTTAATATTACTGATAAAGAAAACATGGCTACAGCAATTTTTAACTATTTTCATCTTAATAATGTGCAAAAATTGGAAATAGTAAGGTTGCAAAATGATGTTATTTTAAAATTTTATGAAACTAAGATATTTTGGGGCTTGTTAAACAGAAATCAGTATCCTATTTTAAAGTCGTGCTGTATGCACGCTGTGCTGTAAATCAATGTTTATCGCTCAAGTACTTACAATTGTGAGACGTTGTTTTCGAATATGACTTATTTGAAATCATTCAACTACAATGTATTGTTCAAAACTTATTGATTCACACTTGGATAATTCTTTAAGAGAATGCAACTTAAATTATATTGTCGATTATAGTAAGTTAGCAGAAATTTGAGTTAGATGAATTACAAACTCAAATTTCATACTGATATATATATATAAAAAAAATATTTAAAGAGTATAAAATATAAATATTTGTTATTGGTTCAGTGAAATTATATCTTCTAAACACAACTAGTTTGCAATATGATGTTTGATGCTTAATTATGAAACTTGAATGGGTGGTGTCCATTAAGAATTTTAAATTTTATTTTGTGTCCTCAATGACCAAAAGGTTGCCAACACCTGTTATCATGCTGCTCATTTCATTTGCTTCTAAATGTGTAACTACTAATACTTAAATAAATTGTTTAGGACAAATTTTTCAGATTCAGGTTCCAAAGAAAAGGTTAAGGGATGGAAAAGCTGCCTTTACTTCTTCAAAATGTAAGCATTTTTTGAAAAACCATAATGTCACACAAATATTAACTACTGCTAATAGACACAAACTATTGGCAAAGTAGAAAGAGTTAATCAAACTATTTTAACTAGATTAAAATGTAAGTTAAATTCTTATCAATGTAATATTACATAGACAAAATTATTGCCTTAGGTTACTGAAAAATATAACACCATGTTCAGTAAGAAATTGTCCACCATCTGATTTAATGGGTGGAAAATTACCATTTCATCCATTAATTAAAAATCAAGATCTATAGCCACTAATTGAAGAAGTTGGAAAAATTGATAAGAAAAGGTTTGATAGTTACTAGAATATAAACAAGCAAAGATATGACATCCATTTAATTAAGTAATTTTAAACCAGATGATTTAATAATTTGTGAGGAATTTCATTATCTTAAAATCAGAAAACTCTCTTTTCCTTTTTCTGGCCCTTACAAAATTTTGAAACAATACTCTGACTTTATTTTTGAAATATATGAACCAAATTCACTTGCTAAAAGAAATTATGAAATTAGCCATTCTACTAGCCTCAGACCTTTTAACCCAGCAAATAAATTTAAATATACTGTTAGAAATAGTAAAATACGTCTTGCTACTAAAAACTAATTTTTATTTTCCAAATTATTCATTAAAATTGCTTTAAACCTTTAAAAATGTTTGTCATCTGGATGTGTCTTTTATCCTTAAATGCTAATAACACTAGAATATACTAATATAAATAAACCTCTAAACCTAAATGTGACAAATTATTCCTGAATTTGATTCTTTCTCCAATCTGGCTCCTTTTCTATCATTTCCATTCCTTTTTTGCAGAGTTTTTGTGTTCAAATATGCCTCCCTAGACATGCTCCTAATATTGAAATTAATTTTTTTACGAGAGTCAGCAAAGTCTATGAACCTAATTTTAGTTTTTGGCAGAAATACTTGTCAGTATCTTTTAAATTTTTGTATGTAACCGAAACAAAATTATCAAATGCAATATTTTCTGAACACAAAAAGTAAGTTAAAATTAATGGACTGGAACTTAATAAATTCCAGCCCTCAATTTCAACACATTCATGAGTATAAAATGACAAGGCCTTGCCTTTCAAAAAGTGTAGAAGTATAGTTAATTCATCTTCATCAGAAGTACTTTTTGTATTAAATCATTTTTCAAAACATAAACTATTTATCAACAGAATGTTCTTGTTTGAATCAAATATAGAACAGTAAATTTATCCTTATCTAAGGAAACAATTTCAGATATTTTCAGAATGTACTGTATCAACAAAATTGGCAACCCATGATGTCACCAAAATATGTTTATGTGGAACTCGGGTAAGTGCCTACACAGAGCAGATGAGCCATGGACATTAGTGTTTGCTTTAGCTACATTGAATATTTTTCCCCCTTGTAAAATATCATGAAGAGACTGGAGTTTGCTGGCTGGTGAAATAAAGTGTTGCATTTCTTCAGGAATATGGTATTTTGTTCAACAGTAAAGAATGCAAAAATATTCAGTCCATGAAATTGTACTTTGTAAATGATCAAATTTTATGGATAAAAATTTCAGTGCCAATATCAAAATTCTACAGTTCTCTGATGGTTTTTTAAAGCAAAGACAGGTTACTCTGCACATGAGAAAAAGAGTACTTGCAGTGCCAAATTTCTACAATTGTTCCACTTTTTTCAAGTGAAAACAGACTGCTGTATACATAGAGACAAGAGCAGTGTGTGCTGAGCTAAGTTGTTCTGCAATTATCTGATGTTTTTCGTAGCTAAACTAGATAGCTGCATATATGGCGAGAAGAGCAGGGGGAAAATGTATATTTCTTGCATTTTATTATTTTGTTAATTGGTTGTTGGTTTATGTAATTCTTAGTGTGCTGCCATTTTAGGAAATGGCTGTTGTTTTCTGCATCTTAATCAGCAAAAAAATTAGTCTCCAAAGATTGGTAACTTTTCAGAAGGGTTGGGTGGATAATCATAAAGTATCTAAATATGTTTCATTTTATATATGTGTATACAAAATAGAATGTCTGTGAAATAAATATAAAATTAATGTTTCCTTGATAATAGTGCATTTTAAGTACTTGGTAAAGTTAAAATATATTTAGATCAAGTAGAGACCTGCTAGCTGGAAAAAGTTGTTGTTACATTTGATATGTACTGTGAACATGATAAATGGCCAAAGTTATTATAATGGAAGAATGCATTTTCTTCATACGAATTAACTATTAAAGTATGAAAAAGTAAACATACGAATTAAATATTAAGGTATGAAAAATATTATATATATAAAATGTTCTAAAATAATTAACAAGTTTCTTTTGATTGCTGTTTGTAAAATTTCAATTTTTTATATATGTTTAAAAAAGTTATTGTAAAAATAGTTAAATGTTAATAGAGTTTAGTATAAAGCTTTATCTTCTAATTTGGTTTCTATTTATACTATTACAAGATGGCAGAACTGTGTTATTCTTTCCTTTTTATCATAAAATATTAACAAATATTGAATTACTATACACTTGCCATGTCATATAAGTTTTTGCACAAGATTCACTTATTTTATTTTTAATTTTTATACATTTTATCATGTAGCACAAAGATGATATCACTGGCGATGACTTAATTCAGAGAGATGATGATAAGCCAGATGTTGTAATGGCTAGATTAAAAAATTACAGGAAATACAATTCTCCAGTGTTGGGATATTATAGGTAAGCAAAATATAAATCTTATCTTGTTAAATTGTTACTTTAAATATATTTTTTTCTAGATTTAAATTTTCTTTAATGGCCTGATTACATGTATTTAGGTGAAATATTTATTTCTGATTAATTTGGGATGACAAAAGTAATCAAAAAATAAATATTAATTTCTTTCTTTCAAATTAGTTATTTTGGTGTAAATTCAGTAATCCCCTCAGGTTGCCGTAAGTCAAAATTTCAATGTTTCATCTTCAAAATCTAACATATGGTCTAAATTAAATTAAAATTTTGCTTTCAGCTTACTTATTTCTTCCATTTGCTTTTTGATAAGATAGAATTAAAATATATACTATTATATCACAAGGTAGAGTATAAAGTGAACATATGGGTATTATTTTTTATTTGATACTCTTTTATTTCCAGTGTGGAGAAAATTAGAGTCCTTAAGCTCAGTGTACACTCGAGCAAATTTCAAAATGCAAATTTCTTCCATTTATGTGATCAAATTCAATCGTAGAACCTTCTACATTGCCCCTTAAAAACATATTTGGATTTAAAGGCATTAAATCTTGAATGTCTTCGGATATGTATGTCAAAGGACGGGAATTGACGACATTTTCAACTTCATATAACACAGTGAGTAATTCTTTCGTAATCTAGGCTTGTCCTGCCTAAAATACTCTTCAACATCTCCTTTATAATTCTAATCAGTCTTTCCCATCATCCTCTCCACCATGCCGATGTAGGAGGATTAAATTTCCATTTAATTTTCTTAATCATGGCTTTTCCCTCCACTTCCTTCAAATTAATTTTCTTGAAAAGATTATTAGTTCCCATAAAGTTACCATTGTCTGAATGTATAATACTTGGTCTTCTTCTCCAAGCTATGAATTTTCTCAGGCTTTGCATAAATGCTTCTGTTGGATAGAGTAGTAATAATTTCAATGTGTATTGCCCGATAAACAGCACATGTAAATATCACTATCCATGTCTTCTTCTGGCCTCGAAGGTATAAAGGTACAGCCAAAATCGACACCCATAATCTGGAAATATGCAGAGTCTGTTACTCTCTCCTCTGATAATGGTATGGGGTTTACGTCAAAATTGGTTACCTTAAATCATCTACAGCGACCACAGTTTTTTATTACATGACGAACTGTACGCGGGCATTTGAGAATCCAAAATTTTTCTCTCAGAATTGCCATTAAGGCTTGAATACCTGCATGGGAATTTTCCTTGTGTTTTTTCTTGATTAACAGGTTGGTAATAACGGGGTTGGGGGGAAGAATTATTGGAAATCGAAAATTTCTACTGTCGTTTCTCTGAGAGATCTTTGTTGTAGTACGTATCAGTCCTTTCTCATCCACAAAAGGTTGCAATGATACGATTGTATTGTCTTCATGAGATTCAAAACTTTCTTCTTGGATTAATTTTAAAAGAATATTTTCTGCTTCTGCATATTCTGCAGAAGTAATGTTACCGAAGATACGATCTTTAGGTAATTTTCTGGCATTTTTGCCGAATCATTTTATCTAAGCTATTATCCTTACTATCTTTTTATATGAAGAACATCTGTTGTAGAATAAATCCCTTGTATTTATAATGTGGCTAGCTGTTATGGCACATTTTCTTTTCTCCAAATTTATTACAGATTTGTCAGGTTGCACTAGTTTATAATAAGTGTCAATCCTTATGTTTTCTTTCAGCCATTCTGGCCCATTCCACCACTGACCCTTCACTAATTGCCATACTGTACATCCTCTTGAAGCTATATCTGATGGGTTCTGTGAACCTGGAATGTGATACCAATCATTTATGCTACTTAGTTTTCTAATTTCGTTTACTCTATTGGCCATGAATATAGCCCAAACAGCTTCTCATTTAATCCAACAAAGCTGGAATCTGTCCAATAAAAAGTTTTAATATCCATTAGATGCAAGTCTCTTCTTACCACTGCAGCTAGTCGAGCACCAATTAGGCAAGCTAATAATTCTAAGCGAGGTATTGTTGTCACTCTCATTGGAACTATTCTGGACTTAACTTGCACTAACTGACAATGTATGCCTTCATTATTTCTATTCTCATAAATATGCGTGTATCATAGGCCATTTTGCTGGCATCACAGAATACTTGCAGACTCCATTTATCAGGTTCATAAATTTGAGAGCGTTCGCAATCCAACAAGGAATTTTAATATTTTTCAATTCAAGAATTTTACTATGGCATAACTTAAACTTCTTCGAAATCTTCTCTGGCACTTCTTGATCCCACGAGAGTTTTAATCTGCAACATTCTTGTAATAATAATTTCGGCAGCGGTGTCAAAGGACAAGAGAATCCAATCGAGTCGAAGATGGCTTGTGCTAAGGATAAAATTTTTCGGTACTTACGTATTATCGCAACCAGGTTGGCGCTATTTGTAACTTTGAGTAAAAAAGTATGAATAGAAAGAAAATGTACATTTATTAATTACAGATAATTTTTAATACAGTTTTTTTATATTATTTTGTTTTAATATAAAATAGCAATTAAACCATTCCGGTTTCGAATTTGAATAAGTTGAACCCTACTTACGGCTTAGACCTACTTACGGCAACCCTACATGTTATAAGTAGTTTTGTAAAAAGAGCATGTGGAGATTCACAAATTTCCTGCATTTCGTGCAAATTCTTGTAAGTTATGAGAAATGGCAGCGTACATGGTAAAGTCAAGAGTGTGCGCATGCCATTTTGTGCAATTCTGGGATTTTTTTTTACGTAAAAATAAGTCGAGTGTACATGGTTATGGCGAATACGGTTTCAATCAGTGCTAAAAGGAATAGCCAAAAATTCAGACGAAAAAATAATTCTGCAACTTATTCAAATTCGAAACCAAAAGGGTTTCATTCCTCCCTCCATCTTTATGTTTCGGAAATGCTTTCGTTTGTGATCGACATTCTACATTAAACCCTTGTCTGACCATTGTTATTCTCTCTTCACTTCAACTCTTTCTTCAGAAATGTCATCAAAAGTTCTAATTGTTTGTTGAAATACCTTTGTCAGCTGAGGCTAAATTTCTTTCCCATATTCTCAAAATATGATCTGATAAACAGGCTCCAACAAGAGGATACAACATAGTGGCATATTTCTCAGTTGTAACCTTTAAACTTTCTAATGCACGTAAATGTGTTTCTATTTTATCATGCAGTTTAAACACAGAAATTTTATTCGCAGAATTACTACTATTTTTCATCACTAAACAGAGTAGTTCCCTCACATAAACTTCAACCAAAAGGTAGTCTCTTCCAAACCTGTCTTTCAAATGTTTGATAGCTTTATTATAATTTTCAGAAGTAGTGGAAAACTCTCTACAAGATCTCTAGCTTTAGATCAGGTTCCGTACATGTAGTAAATACTGATTTTATCTTCGGAATTATTTCCTGATCTTATGAATTTTCTAAACTGGCCCCAAAATCCCAGCCATTCTTTTGCTCGCCATTAAACTTTCTTAATTCAATTTAGGAAGTTTAATTTCCTTTAACAGCTTCATTTTATCTTTAGGTAAAATATTTTCCCTTTTACTAAAGTTCTGTTCAAGTCTAGTTACTTTCATTTTAAAATATATAATTTATCATTGGTGTGATTCAGTGGTTTCGATTTCTTTTCAAATTTTCATTAGAACACTTGGTATCTTTACTATTAACTCTAAGCCTGTTTATCCAAATTATTTATCTTTTGCATTTATCTTCAAGTTGAGCGAAAAGAATATAATCTTATCTAATCTAATGTACCTTTAAAGTTCATCTAAATTATTCCAGTCTTAGTAAAATTTGTTCTAAACAACCTCTAAATGTTTAAGTTCTTCCATAATTGAAATCAAAAGTAGTGAGTGTTATCACTGTTCATAAATCAAATTCTTAATAAATAATCCAAAGTTCAACAAATGTTCATTATAAAATCAATCATTCAAATTTTAACCTTTAACTGCTGTGAGTGGTCTCTTAGACCGTGCGACATTTTCCATTAAGTGCTTCCACCTCATAGAATAATTAATGGGTATTGCTATTCTTAGTACCTTCCTAAAACAGTTGTCCAAGGTCACATACCAAGTTGCATTTGGCTACCTCTATTTCTTCTTTTATTTTTTTATTTTTTTAAATTTTCCCCCCTCAGCGGTCTGTGGGACTGATCACAGAAGATACGATTCAAAGTTCAGCCGATAAAGTTCACTTTTCTTTGTTACATATTTCACTTTTTTATAAATATTCTTGAAATTGCTTCAGATGCGTGCAGGAAACATTCTGTATATCTTACCCAAGACCAATTTTAATAAATAGTTCGAAATTGGTCTGATTTAGAGTTCTCTGATGAAAGTTCCCATGATGAAATTATTGAGAACGACCACAACACAAATTCAGAAATATCTGCCGATGAAAATGAAAATCCACGTTCTCCTTCTGCAAGAGATTTTTTTATTGGAAAAAATGAATTCAAATTGTCTATTCAAGTGCCCAACAAGGGTGTTCGAACTCGTAGTCACAATATTATTCTTCATTCAATCTATACAACTGCTCGTAGAACCCGGCATTGGTCTATGGCAATATTTTTCAGAAACTTGGATATCTGTGCAATAAATGCATTCGTATTATTTCAGTCTTATCCTGTTGGCTTCGAAAATGAAACAAAAAGATTTCATTAGCAATTCAGTTGGTGCAGTCTCATGTAAAATGGAGGACAACTTCATCATTTTTACCTAAAGAACTCAAACTTGCAATAAGACGAGTTTTCGGAATAAATGATGATGAAGGGAAAATTGCGATCGAAGATGATAAATTAGATAAAAAAAGAAAGGGCTATACACTGACTACCAAGCATTTGGACACCTGTGATAGAAAAGAAAAACTAACTTTATTCAAAATCAATAGTTGGTAGAGCCTCCATGAGAGGTAATTACAGCGTGGACCCTCGGGGCTACTTTCACAAGTCTTTGTATGACAGCTAGTGGTATTTTCTTCACTCGCTTGGAGAGACATAGAAGTTCCTTC